AATAATAGAAACAAGGCCAGGAAGAAAAAAATACAAAAACCAAACCCCCACTCATTTTCCTTGACTTAAGGTTTTCAAAAAAAATGTGCATAGTAGTAGCATAATACCTGAATATCTATCCTATCTGTTTTAGTTTCAATGTTAGAAGGGCAGGAGGATTTTAGAGGCTACAGGAAAACATGTGTAAGAACAATATCCACTTATTACTTGGATTTCTGAGTTCAAAGAAGAACGGAATCTATTTTACTTTTCTTATTCTCTTTAGTATTGGCATTTTCAAATGTCATTTGTGCCTAGGTCAACAGAAACTTTTTTTTTTTTTCAAGTTGTGGGGAACAATTCAGGTTAAGGTCTACAAATGGTCATCATGTAGGTAAAGTTTGGGCCTCACTTTGGTCCCCACGTCACTTGGTTTGAGATCAGGAACTCTTTTTGATGAGGTGTGCCCCCTTCCCTCCCCTGGCATTTTCCCACTACTGCCAATCCCTTTCTCACAGTATTATGATAATTGTTCAGGGTCTACTTATGAGTGACAGAGACATTTTTTTCTCCCTAGTATTTTTCATTTATGTGTTATATTTGTTCACTATCTTGTAGTTTTCTTTATTAATATTTTTTCAAATTTTAAAGGTAACAAGTGGAAAATCTATACAAGTACTGTGTAAAGAACCATTATCTGTAGAATAACATTTAATGCTATCCAAAGTTAACTTTTGCAAGTGAGATGTGAGGTTGCTGTGGCATTTCTGAAATAAATTATATGATGTGTGTCTATTTACAAGACACAGAGCTCCAAAGCAATTTCTATTATACTGGAGGCAGTCCAGACAGTTTTATCACTTTTAGGGTCTGCAGCATAAAAGTGTCTTAGATTTTCAGTGATGCTTACTGACACGAAATACCAGTGGATTATAAAATAGAGAAATGCTATAAATCCGTCACTAACTTTGTGAAGCAGAAAGCCAAATCTGGGTTTTGCATTTAGTATGAGGTTGATTGTTTTTTCTTAATTAAACTTTTTAACTTTTGAGATAATTGTAGATTCACACACTGTTGTGAGAAATAATACAGAGAAATACTGTGTATACTTTGTTCAGTTTTCCCCCGTATTAGAGAACTGTAGTACAATATCACAACCAGATATTGACATTGAAACAGTTAAGGAATAGAACATTTTCAGCACTTTCAGAATCCCCCTCATATTGCTGTTTAAAAAAAAATTTTTTTTAAATTTAGAGTCTCACTCTGTGCCCAGGCTGGAGTGTAGAGGTATGTTCACGGCCACTGCAGCCTTGATCTGCTGGTCTCAGGTGGTCCTTTCACCTCAGCCTTCCAAGTAGCTGGAATTATAGGCACATATCACCACACTGGCTATTTTTTTTTTTTTAATTTATTGTAGACACAAGGTCTTGCTAAGTTGTCCAGGCTGGTGTTGAGCCCCTGGGCTTAGGCAATCCTCTTGCCTCCGCCTCCCAGAGTGCTGGGATTATAGGCATGGGCCACACAAAATACCAATACCAAATTGCCTTTTCATGACCATATTCACTTCCCCCATCTCATAAGGCACCCCCCCTTCTGAAACCATTCATCTGTTCTCCATTTCTATACTTTTGTCATGTTGAGATCATTGTATAAATAAAGACAAATGGTATGTAACCTTTTGGAATTGGCTTTTTTTCATTTAGCATAATTTTCTGGAGATTCATGTAGGTTGTGTATATCAGTAATTTCTTTTTATTGCTGTGTAGTATTTTATTGCTGTGTGTAATATATGATATGATTGTATTGTAGTTTATTTAACCATTTACCAATTGAAAGACAGCTGGGTCATTTCCAGTTTTGATGATTACAAATAAAACTGCTATCAATATTCATTTACAGGTTTTTGTGCGAATTAGAGTCTTCCTTTTCTTGAGATAAATGCTCAGGAGTGCAGTTGCTAGTTCAATGGTAATTGCATGTTTGGTTTAGGTTTTTTCTTTCTTTTTTTGAGTTGATGCCTCGTCCTGGAGTATAATGGCATGATCACAGTTCACCACAGACTCAAACTCCTGGGCTCAGGTGATCCTCCCACCTCAGCCTCCTGAGTAGTTGGAACTACAGGTGCATGCCATAGTGCCCAGCTAATTTTTTGATGTTTTGTAGAGACGAGGTCTCACTATGATTGCCTAGGCTGGTCTCAAACTCCTGGGTTCAAGCGATCTTCCTGCCTTGGCCTCCCAAAATGCTGGGATTACAAGTGTGCACCATCATGCCAAGCCTGTACAACATTTTCTTTATCCATTCATCTGTTGATGTACTTTTAGTTTGATTCCGTATCTTTGTTATTGTGATTATTACTGCAGTAAATGTGTGATTGTAGGTATTCCTGTGGTATATTGGTTTATTTTCCTTTGGATAGATAACCAGTAATGGGATTGCTAGATTGAATGGCAATAATATTTTAGTTTTTTTTTTTTTTTTAAAAGAAATCTCCATACTGTTTTCTATAGTGGTTGTAGTAGTTTACGTTCCCACAAACAGTGTATAGCAGTTCCCTTTCCTCCTTATCCTTTTTGGGTCATGTTTTCTGCTCTACTCTGCCAAGGTCTCTTTTAGAATAGTTGTATTTAGGCTATTTACATTTAATTTAATTATTGACATATTTGATCTTTAGCCTGTCATTTATTTTTGCTTTCTGTTTGTTCTCATTTTTGTTTTCTTTCTACTACTTTCCTGTGACTTAGTGAACATTATTTTACAACTCCATTTTAACTTTCATTTTTTTTTTTTGAGTCAGAGTCTCACTCTGTCACCCAGGCTGGAGTAATCAAGCTCACTGCATCCTCAAATGCCTGGGCTCAGGCGATCCTTCCACCTCAGCCTTCCAAGTAGGCATGCATCATCATGCCTGGCTAATTTTTTTGCTTTTTTGGGGTAGAGATTAGGTCTCATTATTTTGCCTAGGTTGGTCTCAAACTCCTGGTCTCAAGTGATCCTCCCACTTTGGCCTCCCAAAGTGCTAGGATTACAGGTGTGAGCCACCATGCCTGGCCTTTTTAACTTTTTATATAGTATTTTTGAGGATATTTCTTTGTATAGACTCTCTTAGTGGTTGCTTTAGATATTTTTAATATATTCATATATAACTTATTGCTGTCTACTGGTGTCATCATTTTACTAGTTCAAATGAAGTATGGAAAACTTACCTTTCTTTTCATCCCTTTACCCTCCCTCGTTTTTATATGATTATCTTAAATATATTTTCTAAATATATTTAAAACCAAATTAGACATTTTAATAATTTTTGCTTCAATCATCAAACATAATTTAGAAACCTTAATAGAAGGAAAGACTGTTGTATTTACTTATATTTTTCCTATTGTGTTCTTGCTTCTTAGTCTGACATTCCAAGGTTCATTCTTTCGTCATTTTCTTTCTCTTTAGAGTACTTTAGCCTTTGTTTTAGACTAGTGTGCTAGTGCCAATCTGCTGTTTTTGTAGGTGAATAAATTGTGAAACACTGACAATTTCAGATGATTCAATGTAGTTCTAGTGGATGATCAGTAAAGGCCAGAGGAAAAGGAAGACTATGTATAGAGGTGACCTGTTGCAAGAGCTAATGTGATGCTACGTGATTCATTTTTCCTCCTTAACCACTTCATCTAGAGGACTCACTATGTGTAAGGCAGGGGGCGGTGGGACTTGCACACTTGATACTTCCCTACAATGGAATGCTACTCAGCAATAAGAAGGAATGAACTACTGACACATGCAACAACATGGATGAATCTCAGGTACATTGTGCTGAGTGAAACAAGCCAGACAAGAAGGAATACATAGTATATGATCTTATTTTAATAAACTTTAGAATATGCAATCTAATGATAGAAAGCAAATCAGTTGCTATCTGGGGCGAAGAGAAAGGGAGTGAAACAGAGGAATAACAAAGAGACCTCAAGGAAACACTGGAGGGAGTTTGTTATCTTGATTGTGGCGGTGATCTCACATATGTATCTAACTGTATACTTTACATATATGCAGTTTATTGTATATCAGTTACAACTCATTAAAACTGTTTGACCAAAATACTGTATTAATAAGCCATACAGTGTGTGACTATTGTGCAACTACTCCACCTGCGTCTCCAACTTTTTCATACTTTTGTTTACAAAATGGGACCAGTGATTACATGCTTAGATGTTGTGGCATTGTCAGATTGCTTTAAAGTTTTAAAGTGCTTACTGTCAGTTTTTAAGGTAATGTCTGTCAATGGTAAGAATAGCCTTGCCTGAGCATCACACACTGTTTTAAAGTAATACTTCTATACTATTTATAAACTTTTTTTTCCAGAGTGAAGCCATACTTGGTATCATTCTGAAACAATTGTATCCTACTTTGCAGTCATGCTATGATTTGATTAACCTGTGTTCTGGTATATGGATTTTGGCAGTGAGTGCATGATTTTCTTAGCATGACTCCTAGGAGATTACCTTGATCTGATAAAATATGCTGCCAAGTTTCAGAGTGGATTATACTGAAGCTTTAGTATAACATTCCCACTTAGAATTTTTTAGGTAATCATGTAAAAGTTTAATGCAGTATAAGAACTTTTCAAACTGTGATGTGTTGGAGCATACCAGGGATCTGGCATGGTAAAATCTGTGTTCAGATCCTGGCAGTCTAACTGAGATGGATGACTTGGGGCCAGTTGTATAGTTGTATGACTTGGGGCCAGCCTCTGTTTACTCTTTAAAGACAGGGTAGCAGTTGCCTCTTGGGATCAAAGTGCTTTGTAAACTGGAAAGTGTTATACGTAGATAGTTTATCTTACTGGATATATTTCTAACCTTCATTTTGGAGAGTTTTTATATTTTTCTTTAGGAAAAGGCCCGTATTTTGAAAGTAATTTGGAAACTATTTCTTAAATATGGTGAATTTTGCAGAATGCCTTGATTTTTACATATAAGCTAAAAAACTGAGAGTTACACCTGAAATAATGTACTTTTTTCTCTTTTCAGGCAATTGCTCTCTTAACTGAATTAATTAGAGAAAACTTCAGGAACAGCAAATTAAAACAGTGCCTTTTACCAACCCTTGGGGAGCTGCTCTACCTTGTAGCCACCCAGGTGAGACTGATTAACTCTGTTGCTGTGTGATGTGTTCTGACATATCCTGGCTGACAAGTATTAATGTCCTATAAAAGTTTTTTGACTTTGTCCCTTAGAGCATGCCTAAGGTACTTAGGAGAAACTTCACCTCTGGGGGAGAGAATTTCTCAGTGTTTCTTTGTCTCCTTCTGTCTTACCTTGTCTCTCTTCTTCCATTCTTCTCTTCTTCCCAGTGCCTGATTTTCCTTAAAAGGTAGGAGATTTGAAGGCCGTATTTTAAAACCAGTGGATGGAAAGTCCCCAAAGTACTCTCCAGGTTGTTACCATCTTTGACTCCTACAGGCAAGAGGAGACCATTGGTTCTCCCAAAAGCTCCATTTTAGCTTAAAGAAAACACGATTTTGTACAAATATAGCTTGTAACATGACTATTGGTATTTGTGAAGGCAAACTTTGACTTCTTATTTCTAAAGTTACAGTATGGAAATACTATTGCATTCAACAAGGCAAAATGTAATATTTCATTAATGTGGCTTTTTAAATAATATTATTGAATACATAATGTTAACTTATAAGTTAGTCATTTAATGTGATCCTTGAGAGTTTTAAATAAATAGTAGTAAGTTAAAAATAATTAAATATGTTTTCTCATTGCACTCTTTTTTTTTTTTTTAAGAAAGAAAAGTTTATTTAAAAGTAAGTTAGAGAGAGAAAGAGAAGGAAGAAAGAAGATTCACCCCCCCCAAGGTGGGGGTGGGGGCCAAAGCCAGGAAGCATGGCTACAGCCATAGCTCCTCTCATTGCACTCTTAAGTTTTGGTTCTAGAACTTGCTCAAATGTTATATAACTTGAATATCCTTAATATTTGCACAATCATCACTTTAAGGCTGCTGCCATTATTGTTATAAAACATCAGTAGTTTAAATTGTTTAGATCCATAATTATTTTAAGAGCTCCTATAGAAAATCTCTCCTTCTTGTTCTTCCTTTTCATGAGTGTCTTGGCTATTCCTGGCCCTTGCATGTCAGAATACGTTTTAAAGTCAGCTTATCCAATTCTGCAAATCATCTTTTTTTAAAAAAAGTATGTTGATTACACAGATACATTTGAGAAGAATGAAAATCTTTATGACTTTGAGTCTTCCAAAGCATATTTGGAATTGTACAGAATTTGCATTTGTATATTGATTGGGAAAGTATTGATATCTTTATGCTAGTCCTCCAGTGCACAGAAGCAGTGCTTCCATATATTTATATTTTAAAAAACATTTCCATTAAATTATCTATTCTATAGAGAAAACTTCTGTACATCTCTCTTTGGTCGAATTTATTTTCAGGTAATTTCATATTTTAAAGAGACACCATCTCTCACTTTTAAAGAGAACCTAGAAAACTAGAAAGGGATGTATACAAAGAGCATTCTTTTTCCTGTTTTTGTATGCTATGTGTCTGATTCCCCAATAAACAGCCATTATAATTAATTTATTTACAGAGTTAATTTTGTACATATGACCAAATACAAATGTAGGTTCTTATTTTGTATCATTTTATAGGAGAGGTAGAAACTTGCTTTTTTCATTTAATAGCCATGCGTTATTAACTATGTGTATCTGGAGATACATACACTGGACCTATTTATTAGTTTTGAGATAGGGTCTCTGTTGCCCAGGCTGGAGTGCAAGTGGTACAATAATCATAGCTCACTGTTACCTCAAACTCGTAGGCTCAAGAGATCCTCCTGCTTTAGCCTCTTAAGAAGCTAGGACTTACAGGTGTGTGCCACTGTGCCTAGTTAATTAAAAAAAAATTTTTTTTTTGTAGAGATGAGGTCTCACTATGCTGCCATGTCTGGTCTTGAACTCCTGACCTCAAGTAATCATCTTGTCTCAGCCTCCCATAGTGCTGGGATTACAGATATGAGCTACCACATACAGCCTGGAGCTATTTTCTAATAATTAACATGGATGTATTTCTTAATCAATTCTTCTAGTTCCCTCCCTTCATCTTTTTTCTTGTAATGGAACATTTCTTTGTGTGATATACATTGTGTGCCAAATTTAGTGAAAGATACTTTTCCTTGCAGTTCTTTGGGGATAGGACTGGAGAGTTTATTTCTACTTTATCATTACTTTACACCCTCGAGGTCTTGACATAAAAATTCAAATTTGCCATGTTTGCAGGCCCTTAGAGTAAAATTAAACTTCATTGTTCAGTTTATCCCGTGTTTGCAATTATCTAATTTTCGTTTAATTAATTTTTTAGTCAGATTATTTGTTTTTTTGTTCATTTATTTAAAACAGGTTCTCACTCTGTCATCCAGGTTGGAGTGCAGTGGCACAGTCGTAGCTTACTGTGGTCACAAACTCCTGGGCACAAGGGATCCTCCTGTCTTGGCCTCCCAAAATGTTGGGATTACAGGTGTGAGCCATAATGCCTGGCCCTGTTTTCTTGTAAGATCTTTGATATATTTTAAGGTTATCATAATAACACAACTTGCTTTCATTGGAAAAGTTGTTGATACCTGGCCTGCCATCTTATTAGGAATCAGAGTCTAATCTAATTCTGTTTTTAAGTCTCCTCTCCCCTCAGCTTAATTGAGGTATAATTGGTATACAATAAACTGCACATATTTAAATATTACAATATGATACATTTTGATGTGTACACCTGTGAAATTATAACCACATACTGAATGTATCTGTCACCTGAGAAGTTTCCTCAGCATCCTTTATAATGTTCTATCTCTATGCAACCACTGATTTCATATAGACTTGTTTGAATTTTCTACATTTTTATGCAAATAGAATCATACAGGATCATATTCCTACTTGTTTCTAAAAGTAGATCTAGAAAATTATTTTTTTTGGTATATTCTTCAATTGGATACAAGCTAGGATCACATTTTAATAAAGTGATGATTCTGTGGCCATGACATTTGAATACATCTTATGATAGCAAACCATCTTATGGTAGAAAACATCTTATAATATCAAAGAAGTTAAGTCCCTGGATCTGTAAAAAAAAAAAAACTTTTCATGCGTTGAAGGCTTTTGTGATGAGATTGTCACTTTGAATATATAGTAAACCTTAAAATCTCAGGTCAGTACTGACCTAGTGGTACTGACCTGATGTGACAGTATATACTGTATACAATGCACAGACCTAAGTCCGGTCCTATCGGCTCACTGGGAATACCCTAAGGTTCCAAGCTTAAGGACAGAAGATCAGACTGTGATTTTGCAGAGGATGTTATGAAGCAACACATTATCAGTTTATTTATTTTTTTCTTTTGTCAAGGATGCCTATCATCTTGAGTCTAGGTATTCTAATTTTTTTTTTGTCCCCCCCATAATCATCTCTTTTCTCACTTAATGTCACAGCCAAGTCTCTCTAATTGTCTTCCAGGCCTTCACGGCTGACTCCCCAGTACCTGTCTGACCTCATCCCTCACCACCCTCTAACTCACTCTTTCCAGCAACACTGACCTCCCCACAGTTCCTTGAACCCACCACCACGGTGTACTCCTCCCTCACTACCTTTGTACTTGCTGTTCCTTCTGCTTGTAATGTTTCCCCTTCAGATGTTTGTATTTTTTTTTTTTTTTTTTTGAGTTGGAGTCTCATTCTGTCGCCCAGACTGGAGTGCAGTGGCCACTCTGGGCCACCACAGCCTCGACCTGCTGGGCTCTGGCATCCTTCCGAGTAGCCGGAACTACAGGCATGCGCTACCATGCCCGGCTGATTTTTTTTTAAATTTTTATTTTTTTGTTGTAGAGATGAGGTCTCACTGCCCAGGCGGGTCTCGAACCTCGCACCTCAGCCTCCCAAAGGCGCAGGATTACAGGCTGAGCCACCGAGCCTGGCAGATGTTTGTATTTTAAAGGAATCCCTTCAACCAACCTTTTCTTGACTTTGAACAATCTGGAATAGAGCCCACCCAGTCTACAGTCTTCCAGCAACCCGTTAGCCTATTGTGTTTTTCTTGATAGTGCTCATAATTATCTTATTTATGTTGTTTATTAAAAAAAAAAATCTCTGTTCTCCACTAAGCACTGTTAAGGCTGCTGTCTTGTCATGGCTGTATGGCCATTGTTTGTAAGAGTTCCTGGTATACAGTAACTGCTTTGTACATGCAGGGACTGCACCAAGGCTAGTGGGACATGAGGAAAGCAAGCAAAGAGGCAGAGTTGGAGATACTGGCAGGGATATGATCCTGAAGCGTTCTTTGTTTTTTTTTTTCTTGAGTTGAGGTGTCACCCTTGTCCTCTAGGCTGGAGTGCAGTGGCATGCTCATAGCCACTGCAGCCTTGACCTGCTGGGCTTGGGTGATCTTTCCTCCTCAACCTGAAACTACAGACGCATGCCACCATACCTGGCTAGTTTTTGTGATTTATTGTAGAGACAAGGTTTCACCAAGTTGCCCAGGCTGGGCAGCCTGGGATTATAGGCTGAGCCACTGTGCCCAGCCCTGAAGGGCTCTTTGGCCAGTCAGATATCTTGATCTTGAACCTAAGAGTGAGAGAAACTCATTGAATTTTTTTTTTGAGTTGGAGTCTTACTCTGCCACCCAGGCTAGAGTGCAGTGACATGATCATGGCTACCACAGTCTCGACTTGCTGGGCTCAGCTGATCCTTCTGCCTCAGCCTTCCAAGTAGCTGGAATTATAGGCAAGTGCCACCTCATCTGGCTAGTTTTTTGATTTATTGCCAAGTTGCCCAAGCTGGTCTTGAATTCCTGGGCTCAGGCAATTCTTTCACCTTCACCTCCCAAAGTTCTGGGATTACAGGCATGAGCCACCACTCCTGGCTTTCATTAAACAGTTTTAAGAAGGGCAGTTATGTCGTCTGATTCACTTGCCAAAAAGATTACTCTGGTTTAAATGTGGAGAGTAGAGCCGAGAATGGTAAGAGAGGATTCTGGGAGCCTAAATGAGGGTAAGCAAAGTAGGAACAAAATTAAGAAAGTAATTGGGTATTTCAGGAAAAGGAAAATCAGTAGAGCTGATTCACAGTTTAACTTAAAGGACTAAAAAAGTGTTTTTCTGGTTTGGGCAACTTGAAAGGGAGTGGTAATTCAACAAGAACTGTTTTATATATTTATTTTGGGGAGTGAGGGAGGTAGAAGTCATCAGATTGGAATGGGTTGAGGATTTAGTGAGAGGTATGGAAACCGAGAAAATTAGTGTAAAGGGTCCAGGGGCTGAAGAGGGTCTTGTTTTCATAATGGGAGATAGTGGCCCTATTCAAGTGGAAAAAGAACAGATCTAGTGAAGATAAGACATTGAGAAATTGGAAGCAATAAGATAAGTTCATAGTTAATGACCCTGAAGAAGGCAGGATGGGAATGGGATCCTGAGCCCATGTGGAGGGAGTGGAGTGGAGGAGGCTGTCTTGTTATAAGCATGGAGTAAAAGTGGCAGATGGCTTCAGGTGTAGGTGAGTTGGTCCTTCTTTTCTTACAACTTCCAGTTCTGTGAAGGAGGAAGTGGGTGAAGTGATGTCAGGGACACAGATTTGAAATAGTCCTTTTAGAGAGGGAATGGGTCAGAGAAACAGTCAGCCTGGAGAGTGATGTTGAAGGTCCCCTGGGGTTGCTGATCCTGTCATTAAAGGACTTTGTGCTCCCTGGTGCCACCTTCCCTAAGGGCCCAGTTGCCTGAGCGTAGGCCTAGAGAAAACAAATGACTGGCCTCTTCCGAGGTTGAGGTTTCCCAAACAAGAGAAGAGGGACATCCAGAAAGAAAAGATGTTCAAGTTTTTGGCAGGAGTGATAAAATGATGGGCCTGGGAATCTAAGTGGCTGGAAGGGAAGTAGGGAATAGACTGGAGGACACAGCAGGGATGAGTGGAGAGGGCATAGAGTCCAGTCATGTTAAAGGTTGCGGTGGACATTTTGACGAGAAGAATAAGGGAAAGGAAGAAAGTTGTATTCGCAAGTTAAACTTAGTTGTGAGTTAGCTATTTTTGAGTTGGAGCAGTTCCTGATCATAATGTCCAGGGGATGATCAGGAATGGAATTCTTTGATTAAGAAAGGGTACAGTTTCAGTGGGTTACATTTCTCATAATGTGTATAAAATATTCTTGGACCAATAATGCACCAATTCTAGCATTTGGACAATCTTACATGCCTTCTCTAAGTAGAATCTAATTTTTTCTGTTTTAAAAAGATGATTTTTTTTCACCTTTCTGTGTGGCACCTGATTTGTTTTGTGATTTTATTTGATAAGTTGCAGGAGTGTTCTTGTGTTTATTACACTAATTTGGTTAATCTTCTGTGAGAGAATTATTGCTGATGTCATTTAAATCAGTGTACCTGCTTATCACATTGGCTCATTTTTATTTAGCACCTTGTCTAACTAAGTGACATGCTGCCTTTTACTTGTGCTTATGAATTATCCTGAGATATTACTCCAAGTTTTATTTTCTGTGCTTTTAAGTCACTCTAGATAATGTAATACTTTTTAGATGGTGGTATCTATATTATCATCTACAATTATCAATAGAATGGTTTCTCTATCAGATCATATTGTCCGTTCTCAATTCTTTTTATCTAGCTTCTAATGAGATCTTGTCAACATCACATATAACACAGTGAGAAATAGAAGAAATGCCTTATATGTACAATGCAACTTAAAAAGACCCTTGATCTGGTTGCAGTCATCAGGTAAACAGTAATACTTTAAATAGAATGCTAAGACAGTTTAGATAGTTTGTATATTTGGAAATATGCCTTTTTGTTGAATGGGTTAATATCTTTTGGGCTGTTAACTTCACTGCCTTTTTTTCCCACTTCATTTTAGGAACTAAAAAAAAAGAACCCTAGAGAATGCTGGGCTGTTCCCTTGGCTGCATACACAGTGCTAATGAGGTGCCTTCGGGAAGGGGTAAGTTTCCTTTGTTGTCCTCTGTAGACACTGGCAATTGTAATAACCCTTCAGGCACTGTATGAGGATTGTAGCCTGCAGCAGTGCAGGAGCTTGTCAACCAGGTATTGCTCCTGAATTTAAATAATCCCGACAGCCTACCATGAGCAAGTGTAAAAATGATCTAGCTTTCCCATCTACTTGTTTAAATGTCTTGCTTTTTAAAAGAATGCTAGCAAATATAAGCAACATAACCAGCTTTTAATAGCATATTCTTAATTATCCTCCCCCTTTTAAGTTTCTGAACCACCAGCTTAGTAAGCAAGTACCTGTCTGCAGAGAATTTTCTGTGAGCCTCAGACATCCCATGATTATCTTGTCAGGTTGCCATTTTGAGGTTCAGAAACAGGGAAGCTTCTAGTATTCATTGATTTTAATATTAAGTAGTATTTACTATGTGATGTGATTTTTCAATTTATTTACATAATTTCTTGTGCTGTCATCAATGGTTGGAAACCAGCCAACTGGCCAAGCAACCTACTCATATGTAGCTGCTACGTGTAACTATGTAAAAGGTTTAGTAACTGGCCTAAAAGGTTGGCATTTTCTGTTTGCTTTAAACCATTTGACATTGTTTCACCCAAGGCAAAGCCATAGGCTAAAAACATTTTTTTAGGAATGAAAAAGATATATCAGGATAAACATCTTTCTTCTGAGTTCATTACTTCCTACATTATATGGTAACTATGAAAATTAAGTTAATTTCACCTATCATCAAAAGACATGTTTGGGTACAGCATTCACAGCTTCAAGCTAGGCACACTTGGAACACAGAGGAAGAAGGTGAAATTCCTGTTCACACATTGATCTCACCTATTGGAGCTAAGATAAAAATATAAAGTGGAATATGTCAAATATGTAAATGCAAAAGAACAAAACATAAGAATGCAAGAGAGAAAGGAGTCTTCTAGGAATCCCTTTGGCAGTGTAAAAGTAGTTCTATGAATAGTGCTGCAATAAACATGGGAGTGCAGTTATCTCTTTGATATACTTATTTACTTTCTTTTTTTCTTTATTTCAATAGCTTTAGGGGTACAAATAGGTTTTGGTTACATGATTGCACTGTATAGGGGTGAAGAAGTCTGGACTTGAAGTGTATCTGCCACCCCCGCCTGTGCACATTTATCTGACAGTTATTTTTTTGTCCTTGCAGCCATTCCTCCCTTCCACTTCATAATGGAGAATGCTGTCCATTGTATCATTCTCTATGCCTTTGCTGATTCTAAGTTTAGCTCCCACGTTTAAGTGAGAACATGCAGTGTTTGGTTTTCTGTTCTAAGTTAGTTCACTTAGGGTGATGATCTCTAATACCATCTAAGTTGCTGCAAAAGCAAAAACACTACTTTTTTCTTTTTGATAGCTGAATAGTATTCCATAGTGTATATATACCATATTTTCATTATCCACTGATCGGTTGATGGGCATTTAGGTTGATTCCACCTCACTGCAGTTGTGAACTGTGCTGCAATGAACATGCGGGTGCAGGTGGCTTTTTAATATAATGACCTCTGTTTGCTTGGGTAGATATCTAGTAATGGGATTGCTGGATCAAATAATATTGTTACATCCACTATGAGTTCTTTGAGAAATCTCCGTACCAATTTCCATAGAGGTTGTACTAATTTACATTCCCACCAACAATGTATAAGCATTCCCTTTTGCTACATCCATGCTAGCATCTATTGTTTTTTAATTTTTTAAATAATGGTCTTTTTGACTGGTGTAAAGTGATATCTCATTTTGAATTTGATTTGCATTTTCCTGATTAGTGATGTTGAGAATTTTTTTTTTAATGTTTGTTGGCTATTTGTATATCTTCTTTGGAGAAATGTCAGTTCATGTTGTTTGTTCACTTTTTAATGGGGTCATTTGCTTTTTCTTGCTGATTTGAGTTCTTCGTAGATTCTGGATATTAGTCATTTGTCAGTTATATTGTTTACAAATATCTTCTTCCATTGTGTATGTTGCCTATTTGCTTTGTTGATTATTTCTTTTACTATGCAGAGGATTTTTATTTAAGTACCACTTATTTATTTTTTGTTTTTTTTGTTGCATTTGCTTTTGGTGTTTGAGCCATAATTATTTGCCTAGACTGATGTCCAGAGGAGTTTATCCTAGGTTTTCTTTTAGGATTTTTATGGTTTCAGGTCTGACATTTAAATCTTTAATCCATCTTGATTACTTTTTGTACATGGGGAGAGAGAGGGACCAAATTTCATTTTTCTGCATACAGCGATCCAGTATTCCAGCACTATTTATTGAATAGGGTGTCTTTTCCCCAGTGTGTGTTTTCGTCTGCTTTGTCAAAGATGAGTTGGTTGTAGGTATTTGAATTTATTTCTGGATTCTCTATTCTGTTCCATGGGTCCACATGTCTGCTCTTGTTCTAGTACTAGATGTTTTGGTTACTAAAGTGTAATTTGAAGTCAGGTAATATGTTGCTTCCAGCCTTGTTCTTTTTGCTTAGGATTGCTTCAGCTCTTCTGGCTCTTTTTTGGGATTGTTTTTTCTGTAGGGGTTGCATTGAATCTGTAGATTATTTTGGGTAATATGGTCATTTTAGCAATGTTGATTTTTCCAATTCATGAGCATGAGTTGTTTCTCCATTTGTTGGTGTCCTCTACACTTTCTTTTGTCAGACTTTTATAGGTCTCCTTGTAGAAATCTTTTACCTTCTTAGTTTAAATATTGATTTTCTTGAAATACTGATTTTCTTTCTTTTGCATGTATACCCAGTAGTGGGATTGCTGGGTTATATGGTAGTTCTATTTTTAGTTTTTTGAGGAACCTACATGCTATTTTCCATAATGGCTGTACTAATTTATATTCCCACCAGCAATATAGGAAAGTTCCCTTTCTCTACATTCTTGCCAGCATCTGTTGTTTTTCATCCTTTTGATAACAGCGATTTTAACTGGGGTGAGTGATATCTCATTGTGTTTTGATTTGCATATTCCTGATGACTAGTAATGTTGAGCATTTTTCATAAACCTGTGGACCATTTATGTTTTCTTTTCATAAATATCTATTCAGATTATTTGCCCATTTTAAAAATTGAATTTTCCCCCCATCAAGTTGTTTAAGGTCCTTATCTATTCTTGTTATTAGTTTCTTAGTCAAGATATGTAGTTAACCTGTGTGTCCATAAACAGATGAATGGATAAAGAAAATGTGGCATACGTATAAACAATGGAATATTATTTAGCCATAAGGAAGAATGAAATCTTGTCACTTGCAGCAATATGGATAAACTTGAAGGAGATTATGTTAAGTGAAATAAGCCAGGCACAGAAATACAATTATTGCATGTTCTCACTCATGTGGGAGCTGAAAAAGTTGATCTCATGGAGGTAAAATGATGGTTACCAGAAGCTGAAAGGGTAGAAGGGAGGGAGGATGCAGAGAGGTTGGTTAATGGGTACAAAAATACAGCTAGATTGGAGTAGGTTGTAAGTTCTAGTGTTTGACAGCACAGTGGGGTGACTTTAGTTATCAATAATTATTTCAATAGCTAGCAGAAAAGATTTGGAGGTTCTCAACATAATAAATGATAAATGCTTGAGATAATAGATAATCCAGTTACCCTGATTTGACCATTATGCATTGCATGCATGTATCAAAATATCACGTGACCCACAAATATAATTACCATGTATCAATACAAAATTCTAAAAGCTTTTTTTTTTGAGAAAGCAGGATTTGAGAGGACAGAAAAGCTACCACAGTGGGAGGGAACCCGAAGGGGTTGTCCTAAAGCTTTTTATCTTTAATTTTTGAAACTTAAGTTATTGTCTAGTAAAAAATGATTAATTATAATCCCTGAGGTTGTGTATTTTATCCAATAGCTTTTCCTCACCCCCATTTTTTTATTGGACACATAATATGAAAAATAATGTTTGATATTCTTGTGTGTTATTAAATCATTATTGTTAATAATTATGAAATAGTAATATAATTTGTATTTTAGTAACACAGTTGCATTTTATTTTCTTGGCATGTATGGCAAATTGTGCATAGTTTTTATAAAGGGTGTGTATCCAGAATGCTATAATTTATGAAAATTTTAATTGAATATTTGAAAAGCAGTTACATATGTGATTTGGAAATTAACACTGTTTCTAAAAAACAGATAAACTAGGAGGTGATTCTACTCCCTAAAAAAGATTCCTATCCTTACAAAAAATAATTCAATTATAGTAGTTCTTGGAATTGCAAATGTATCTTGAAATAACAAATGTGTATAATGCATTCACATCATAGTTCAAGGTAAAATAATTGTGAAGCCTTTTATCTTCAACAATTTAAAACCCTTTTTCCACATAGAGAACCACATTTTTAGCATCTCCTGCTGCTTCTGAGTATAGGTTTTTTTTTTTGTGAAATATACCTCATATACAGAAGAATATATGAAATGTAAATGTATAATTGAAAATACTTGTTTGGCTGGGCTCGGTGGCTCAGCCTGTAATCTCAGCACTTTGGGAGGCCAAGATGAGTGGATTGCCTAGCCCATGAGTTCGAGACCAGCCCAGGCAACTTGGTGAGACCTCGTTTCTACAATTAAATAAAAAACTACCCAGGCGCAGTAGTGTGCACCTGTAGTTCTGGCTACTTGGAAGGCTGAAGTGGAAGGATCACTGGAGCTCAGCAGGTCGACGCTGGGGTGGCCGTGAGCATGCTATGACACTCCAGCCTGGGTGTTACAGTGACACTCTAATTAAAAAAAATATAAAAAAAAAGAAAACACATGCTCATATATTCGGTCTCTTTAAAAAAAGAATTTGTAGACTAGAACCTAGAGAATTCTTCTTTTTCCATCTTGGAGTCATGCTGTCTATTCTTTCAAGGAATAACCACTATTCTGACTTTGTGATAAACATTCCCAAGCTTTTATTTATACTGTTTCCATCTTTGAATATATTAATAGGTTTTTAATGCTAACTCTAAATGAAATGGAATTG